GCCTGGCTATTTGGCATTTTAGGAGACAGGATATCAGCAGATGGACCTTTGGTCTGACCCAGTGTAGCAGTTTTTATGTTCAAATGTTCTAATCCCATCATCTAGTGAAAGCCCCTCACCCCTCACCAATTCAATAAATAAGAGGACAACAAAATGAAGGGGGCAAAGATTGCAACTACAAGGATAAGTTCCACAGTGTTATTTAGACTTGGATAGTTAAGAAGCAATAATGAAAGTATAAAACAGTATCTATGAAAAACATGGGACTAGCCTGGCTCAAACAGGACAAGTTACAAGCCCAAAGATGACAGAAGGATTAGTGAATATGGAATCCAAAACCAAACTGGAAAAAAATTTATACTGCAAAAAATGAAAATTTGGTTTGAAAATTGGAACTATAGAATTTAAGCATGAGGTCTAGATACCTCTGGGGCATTTATACATGTGCTCCAGGAGTGGGGGGGAGCTTTAATTAGAGTGACTCTGAGAGTGGAGGGGAGCTTTAATTAGAGTGACTCTAATTAAAGTGCCCAGAGCGTTTCATGTATCAGGATCCCTACACTTAAAAATGGTGGCAGGGGCAATCGATAGGCCATCTCCAGTCTGGTTTCTATCCCTTGTACTGCATTGAAACTGCTCTCACTAAAATCTAATCTCTTCCTAAACAAAGCTCAAACCAGTTCTCCTTCTCTATCCACCTTGACATCTCAGCCCCCTGTGACATGACAGACTAGGCTCATCTTCTACAGATTTTGGTAGTGCCCTTGTCTCTGTGACTCTACCCTCTCTCTGTTCTCCTCTTACATCACTAATCCCGCCTGCAGCATGGAACCTACAGAGGACCCTCCTCAACCTCCATTGCAACTTTCCATGTAGGCTTCACAGTGCTTGGTCCTCGGTCCCCTCCTTTTCTCTCTGCATTCTTTCCAGTCATCTGCAAACACAAATTCAGCTGCCACCTCCATGCTGCTAATGCACAGCTGTCTCTGTACTCCTGACCTGTATCTTTGACTTCATCACACGGATATCATATTTACTCAGGTGCCAATTTTGACTCTGACTTCTGTCTAGACTAGTGATTCTCAGCCAGGGTGTCACAAGATCTTTGGAAGTGTGTTGCAAAGTGTGAAGAAATAAGCAGGTGTGAGGAGATAAGTGCAGGCTCAGGAGAGTCCATGCCTGGGAACTGCCCTGCCTTCACTACCCAGCCGCTCTGCAAGGAGGTAAGCACTGTAATAAATAATTTTTTTAAATGGGTACTGCTCAGTTCACAGATGGGTGCCTCAAGTCAAACAAGGGATGCCTCAAATGTAGAAACATTAAGAACCACTGGTCTAGACCTTCCATCCAGGCTAAATACTGCGGACACTCTCTGCATGATACCTCACAGATCCAGCGATTCCTGTCCATCTGTAACAATCTCACATTATGATTAAAACCTGCTTTTCTATGGCCTTGGTAAATGCAATCTTGCTCTCCTTGTTTCTATCCAGAGCTCTGTGGCAAAGATCATGTTCCCAGCCTACTGCTTGACCAAGTCACCCTTCTCTTTGCAAAAACAGGAAATCTAATTAAGGGGAAGTGAAAGCAAGTCGACAGAATCACAAAAATCTGTAACAAACTTTGCATCAGAGGCACTGCCTTTTTTTGTTGTTGTTGCTATTTTTAAAGTAAATCATGCAGTGCCACTCTTATTCAATTACACTACATAAACAGTTTGTCATTTAAATCCTTGGTTGAATGTTACTATGTACAAAGTGTCAGGAACAGTATAAGTTTTTAAATTGCAATTCACTGAATACAACATGGACTTATACAGAAAATGATGCAAAAGGGATAATTCCTCTAAAAAAAAAATGTTATCATTAAAAGACATGGTAAATTTCCTAAAGGTTGAAACATCTTAGTAGGACTCATGTTTTTGATTTACAAGCTGCAATTCTTGGGAGTCAAGGGTGTCAAACTCATCTTGTGTTCTGGGCTGGATCTGGATTGCAGACCTCATTGTGAGCTGGATCCAGCCCATAGTTCAAGAATGCAGTGGAGCAGGTAGTGACAGAGCACACAGGGCCAGCTCCAGCCCCTGGCATGTGCCCTGGGTTAGAGCTGGAGTTGCTGCCACTATGTGTTCCTTGCCGCTCCAGTTCCAGCACAGGGAGGAAGGGAAATATGTCGCAAGGCCGCCACCATATGCTCTGCTGCTGCCACATGCCTCCAACTTTCAGTGTCCTGCAGGTAGTCCAGTGTGCCATGTAGAGCAGCTCCAGAGGCTATGTTTGTCATCTCTCCTGTAAATGACCCAGAGCTGTAACTGTGATATAATCTGTCAAGTATCAAAGAAGGTAACATATTTTTTGCTGCAAGACAATTGGCAGCTAAGCATACAGACCTTATGAAGAGACAGTCCCTGCTCCCAAAGAATTTACTGTTCAATCCTTAAACTGATCTCAGGCTTACATAAGTATAATTCATACTTACTACAGAAGTAACACTTCAGTATTTGCTGCCACTTCTGACTGGGCTTCCAGCTTGATATCCTTGGAGATGTAACAACAGACTGTATTTCTTCCTCCTCATTAAGCTCCTCATGAAAATTAGATGGTATGTGATAATGCTATCCTGGTGAGCAAAACAATTAAAGAAAAGAGATAAAGAAAATAAACCAGATAATCTTAGAGACGAAGGAGAATTCATGATCTAATGTTCTACATATCTAGTTTCACATATCATTAGTTTTACATATACATATACATTTACTTTTATCAGGCCAACATTATATTAAGCTATCTGATGAAATATGCATAGTTCCTCAGAAGATTTTTGGCAGCTTTTCTTCTCTCCCAAGAGCTGTTCCTGTTTCTAAAGAAATGGAGACACACTACCCTGACACTTCAAATGATCTTTCTCCCAGATGGTTTCTCATACAGGTTGATTGTCATGGAGCAGTACTAAGCATGATGAAGTAGCCCAACAACAGAAAATATCTAAAAAAAAATTCTCCAAAGTATCATTTCCCAGAGCAGGGGTGTTGAACTCACCTGGCCATGTGGACTGGATGAGTTGTATCAAGCTGGTCCATGGGCCAGATGAATGGTGAAGGGCTGTCCCCTGGGCCAGGCCAAACACACAGACTCTCTCCCCACACATGCCAAATCCAGCACACATGGCACCTGCTTTGGCCAGTCCAGAACTGTGCTGCACATGGCACCTGTGTGGGGCTGGTCTAAGATACACGCAGCATATGGTGCTTGCTCTGGGACTCACACTGCATGTAATACCTGAGGCCTGTCAGAGGAGGCACTGCATGCAGCACATATCCTGAACCCGCCTCCATGTGCGGCACATGTCCTGGACTAGCTGAGCAGATGCAGCATGCAGCATGGGTCCTAGGCCAGCTGAAGCAGGCATCACTTGTGGTACATGTTCAGAGCCCTGTGCAGGGGGCTGGTCTGGCGTGTGCTGTGTGCAGAGCATGTGTCAACTCTGGACCCAGGGCAAGCACTGCAGGCTAGAAAACAGGGCTGTGTGCTCTGGATCTCGCCCACAGGCCATACCTTTGACACCCCTGACCTAGAGCCCTTATTATGTGACTTTTGTCAATTCCTATTCATTGCAAGTTAGTGTAGAAAACTGAGCAGAAAGAAGACAAGACAACAGGGACAAACACAGGACTGGGTCACTCCTTTCAATGAGAAAAGGAAAGCTTTCCTTCTCTCCCCCCCCCCCCCCCCCCCCCAAAAGAGCAGGATAAAATTTCTGCAATACAAAACTGCAGTAGAAGCGTTGCTTTGGTTACACTTACACTGCCACTGACAGATTTCAGTCCTGCCACATGAGCGTAAGCTGCAGTGGGCAGAGTTACTGACATAACTAACTCCACAAAGAGCAGAAAATCTGTTTAGTTACACTAGTGACCAAGCGCACAGGGAGCAGAGGGCATGTCAGGACAGAGCGAGGAACTAGTCAGTGCAGGCCCAGCGCTCACTCCAGCCCAAGATAAAAGGACACAGACCAGCGTGGCAGGCCATCTGCTACGTGTGAAAGTGAATTTTGCAAAATGACCAAATTGCTCTTCGGAGCACTACTTTATAGGTTGGTAAATCATACCTGCGCCCCTTCCTTGCCCTCAAGAGTCTCAAACACTGTGAAAACCACCTGAAATGAGTACACGCAGGCATGGGCAGATCCAGAATTTGGAAAAGGGGCATGCAAATGGTGTGGTGCATCAGCAAATCTAAAATAACACGTATCTTTCTCCAATTAAAGTCGAAGCCTTACTACTACGCTAGTGGCCGCAGGCCCAACTACTCGGTTGAAGCAGAAACAAACAGAACTTTGTTGGACTGCCTCCACCCTTGGGGGGTTTCAAAACCCGACCAGACAACGCCTTGGCTGGGATGGTCTAGCTGGGGCTGGCCCTGCTGTGAGCAGGGGTTGGACTAGATGTGACCCTCTGAGGTCCCTCCCAGCCCTCATTTCTACGTCTGAGTTCAAAACACTCTGCCGAGCGACGAGGCAGGAACTTCACAGCTAGGAGCAGCTGCCAACGGCAGCACAAAGGCTCAAGCGCAGGGAACGGACAAGAGGGCGGTTCCCAGCACGCGGAGGCGGGGGTGGAAGAGGCGAATCTGCGATCCCCCGGCCGCCGGCCCCGCATCCCGCCAGCAG